GTTTCTGGAGCAGCTTGAAAGACTATAAAAACCAAGGGTATTTTCAATCAGTGCAGGTAAAGGGAAAGTATCTTCTCATATTAAAGCTGCCAGCTTCCCAAATAGAAAGTCAGGGCAAGAAGGAAAAAGTACAAGACCAAGAAAAAGTTAAGCTGGCCAGGTGTGCTTTAAAATGCCCCTTAAGTCTAAAAGCCCTTCTTCCTCTACCTAATAGATAGGAGACAGAATCAGGCTATAATCTCATAATCTTGTGTTTAAGTATGGCAGAGTAGTGGGTTCTCAAAGCGGTATCTGGACCCCAGCAACAGTTTCAGTTGGGTGCTTGGTAGGAATGCACACTGCTAGACTGTACTGGGGGAAAAGAAGAGTTGGACAGTAACCTATTTTTAAGATGCCCTCCTGGTACCGGCTAGTTTAAGAACCACGAAGTCGGAATCCTAGGTCTCTGGAAACAGAGTGACTGGGTTTGAGCACCAGATATTTCCCCTGGTAAATGGTGTAACCTTGGGCAAGTGATTTAACATTTGTATGCTTTGATTTCCTTCCTCATCTTTATAATGAAGGCAGTAATAATTCCAAACTCACTGGAACAATGGCCATAAGATAATATCTGTAAAAGTTCGACAAAATGCTTGACCCATAACACTAAGAACTCGTTAAATGGTGAGCAATTACTTTCTCTACCGTAGAGGTGAACACACATTGAGTTGTTTTTAATCTAGCTTGCTCACCCATTTATTCAATTACCATTTATTGAGAATTTATCACATCCTGCACATCCAGGGTGTGCTGATGAAATGCCATTGTGTGAACCCCACTCCACACCAAAACATAAAGACTCTGTGATAGATGAGTCCAAGTTTGTATATGTTTACAAACTCTTTAGGAGTTCTAACAGAAGAAGCAGATCTGCAATAAAAATCTACAGCCCAATGCCTCAGGGGTAGTGACTTAGGTATGTACATGATCCCTGGGAAGGCTTCAGGGAGAAGCCTCTCCACCAGCCAACTTTGGTGCTTATATATTCGTCTCTCCTGTTTCCTGATTTTCTTAGGAGGCGCAAGTCACATTTGTCTAAACCCTCAGTATTTGGCATTATGCCTGGCAAAGACAGCAGAAGTTTGCTGGTGAAATGAGAACTCAGTTGTATTTCTAGGATTAGGCCCTCCAACTCCTGGAAACCCGAGCCCAGTGTGTCAGGAGAGAGGAGTAATTATACAATCATCCTCTCCATAACAAATGCTCATAAATACACATTTCCCTAATATACTGCCCAAGCCTCAAGGCTAAACGTAATGGTTTTGCACACTAGTTTCCAAGAAGAGGAGCAACACGGGCAAAGCTTTTAAATTAATTTAAAGAGACACTCAGGCACACTTCATGCCATTCTTTAATCTCTGTTCTCCTGTGATAAATATAGAATGACAGGAACGGGCCCAGGCTAATGAGCTGGAGGCAGGACTCTATGGAGGCTCGCCAAGCAGCCCTTAGAAAAACTGGAGGCAATAAGAAGCAGGAAATGAGCACCTTGCTCTGGCTGTGTCACCAAGTGCAGCCCTGAAGAATGCCCACTAGACATGGGCTCTCACCTTTCTTTGACTAGCAGCAATTTAAGCAGCAGATAAAAAGAAAACTCCATGTATTACAATGAATTAGAGAATAACAACAGTTATAATTTATTGAGGGTTTGCTGGCATCCGGCAGTGTGCTAAAGGTTCCTCCTACAAAATGCCCTTTAGCTGTGGTGGCCAGCCTGCTGCATGCCCCCTCCAGATCTTCCCCTCCTAGCATACAGCCTTGTGTAGGTCCCTTCCACTGCATCAGAGCTGATTCATGGAACCAACAGAACATTACCCAAGGGGCCCCGTGAATCCTGAGGTGAAATCGTCCAAGGCATGCAGAAGCCAGCGCCATGTCAAGAGGACACTCAAGCAGCCCTACGACAAGGTCCATATGGAAAGGGACTGATCTGCCAAGCAGGTGACCAGGCCACCTGGAAAATCGATCTTCCCATTCTCATCAACCTTCTGAGACTTCCCACCGAAACCCTAGTCATTACAGAAAAAAGAAAAGCCATCATCATTGGGCCCTGTCTGAATTCCTGACCTGCAGAATCCATGAATGAATGGTTTTAGAAATTAAATTCTGTGGTGTTTCGTTAGGCAGGAACAGATAACTCATGAATAAGAGCTAGATTCTTTTATACTCATTTTACATTTGAGGACAGCTTAACCAACTCAGCCACAAACATACTAAGTGAAGTGATGGGCATCTGAATCCAGGTATGCAGATCAGGGAGTCCAGCTCCCCACTTTGTCACAAAACACCTGAGAAATACACAGCAGGCAGCTATCCTAGCTCCCATCCTTTTTGTTAAAGGTAATCATTCAACAGGAATCTTTGGAGCACATTGGTTATCCCCAAGGTACTACCAGGCACTAATCATTCTGCCTGCTATCTTAGTCATCTCCCAAAGATAGATTGGAAGTTCCTGGAGGAGAGGACCAGTGTCTTCCTCAGCGACTGTAAACAGTGGAAAGGTGGGGGTAGGATATTGTGTTAATCCTGTGGACTCTGGCATCAACCTGTCTGCTTTGGCATCTCAGCTCTACCACCTCCAGACTGGGTGATTTCAGGTCACTCACCCCAAATATCAACTCTGGCATTTGTTTAAACCGCATTAGAAAAGTGATCAAAACATGTTGCCTATTTAAATTATTATCAAATATGTGCTTTAAAAAATCTGACATTTCAATAGTCCCACTAAAGCTCTTATTTCAACTTTTCCTCATGTACAAAGGGAAGTTTCCAGAGAAAGCACAGTGATTCCTTGGAGAGAGGGGTCTTGTTGGCAGACACTAGAACCTTCAGTCTCCAGGCTAACCGCTGCCCACAGTTCCCTCTGGAGCCAGCCTGCCCTGCTGCTGGGGTGACATGGCCAGGGAAGGCTGCCACACACTTCCAGTGTTGAATGGGACCTGAGCAGACAGCAACTCGGCTCTTTGCTGTGAGAAGAAATATAAGGCCAAGGAGGACTTTCTCACCCTGGTCTTCTAGACAGAAGTGTAGGTACATATTTACTTCACTCCTATATCTTAATTCCATTACGCTTTCATCATTTTGTCAGTGCAGACAAACCCCCTTAGCTCTGGCCAGCGACTCAAGGCTCACACTGACTTAATGGTAGAGCTGACACGTGCGGTGTGTCTCACCGTCCCTCAGGTGATTTCTACTTCTGCTTTGACTCACCTTTATGGCCCCACCCACTGTTTTCCCCTTAAGGATGACAGAGCTTTCTATGTAAAATTCTTTCTGAGATCCAAAGCATTTCCACAACCTTTCACTTCTAGGTATGATCAAGAAAACAAAGTTGGGACCATACCAGCCACATTCACCTGCCTCTAAATAAGCACAAATTTCTAGCATTGAAAGGTGCTGGGTGAGGTTCTTAAGGGAATTTCAGCAGGAACCAAGGTGAAGAGCTTGGCTTCGGCGAGCTCCCTATGCTCCATCTAACAGTCGAGATTAAACAACAACAAAGTGTCAAGAGATAGATGCCATGAGTAGCAGGGATGGAGGGTACAGGGGACCAGAGGAAGAAATGATGACAGACAAGGTAGGGATGACGTCCCACAGGTGAGTGTGGGCTCTAAATGGTAGGAAAAAATCCTGACACGGGCGGAGGAAGACCAGAGAGTGTACTCTAGGCAGAAGGAACGAAAGGCAAGGAGGTAGGAAAGTACAGGCTAGGGATGGGAAATGTTATAGATCTATGTCCTTTCTTCAACCTGGAGACATTGTGTAGAGAAGCAGGGACAGAGACTACAAAGATAAGTAGCAAAGTGGAAAATACAAAGGCAGCGTTCAGCAATCAAGATGTTTGCAAAAGAGAAGAGGAGATGGCTTTTTATAGATAGTAGAGCAAATCAGTCACATGTGGATTTCGTTATTAAGAGTAATTAATGCAGCCGGCACTGCAGCTCTCTAGGCTAATCCTCCACCTAGCGGCGCTGGCACACCGGGTTCTAGTCCCAGTTGGGGCGCTGGATTCTGTCCCGGTTGCCCCTCTTCCAGGCCAGCTCTCTGCTGTGGCCAGGGAGTGCAGTGGAGGATGGCCCAAGTGCTTGGGCCCTGCACCCCATGGGAGACCAGGAGAAGCACCCGGCTCCTGCCATCGGATCAGCGCGGTGCGCCGGCCGCAGCGCGCCGGCCATGGCGGCCATTGGAGGGTGAACCAACGGCAAAGGAAGACCTTTCTCTCTGTCTCTCTCTCTCTCACTGTCCACTCTGCCTGTCCAAAAAAAAAAAAAAAAAAGAGTAATTAATGCATGCTAATCCATTTCTCAGTGACCATGAACCTGAGCATGCTACGACTAGAGAAATATTTTCAAAGGAGGGAATGACGAGTGAACTAGAGGATCTCTCTTCCCTCCATGTTAAGGAAGTTTCCCTCACTGAAGTCTTTCTTGAATCACTGAACTACAAGTCAAACATTTTTCAGCTGTTATTCTGGGTTCAGTTTTATAAACTATTACCTTAACTGAGAGGGCAGCCATTAGATGATTTGAGTCTGCAGTCTGTCACTTACCAGCACAATCATTTCTGTGATTTCCAAGAACCAGGGAGCATTAACCAGGCTGGTTTTGAATAAATGTGTAGTAGAGGTGAACCCAATTATTGACAGTTCTAGTGCTGTCTGCATCTTAGCATATTTTTCTACCCTCTGACCCACTTAGAAAGCTACTGCACAAAGTGAGCTCTGAAACAGAATTTTTGTGAATCAGAGCTGCCTTTTCTCTCTCCTTAGAGCTAAAATCTAAGCTCAAAAAAGATCCAGAAAACATGAGAGGACACTAACCAATCTCAAATGCTATATCTTGAAACAAGAAAAAGTCCCCGATGTCTGTGATTACTGTGTCCTCCCAGACCCAACAGATAATCCTTGCATAGCACAAAATTAGATGACATGGCCCCATGCCAGGCTTCCATAGCGGGCTTACCATATACCACATGCTAGGCCACTTGGGATCGTTGAAGTAGGTAGACTGGGCACGGTTGAGGTCATAATCCCTTTTTGTACGTTTTTTTACCACTTGCTGTTGGATCCACTCCACCTGTCAAGAGAAGGACTGCTGGTGAGCATTCAAGTTGCATCCTCAATTCACACAATATGGGACAGCCTAAGGCATCTCCCATCTTCAGTCAGTGCTATTTAAGTCACAAGCTTCTTTGTGGCAACTATAATCTATAATCTATAATCTATAATCAGAGATTTCCTAGAAATCCAATTCTTTTTTTATTTTTTAATTCAAACAGACATTTTAGTTTTTTATAAAGAGATCATTTACATCTCTCGATGACAAGATTATTTTTAGCTTTTGCAGAAAGCATATGTTCTAATTTATCACAAAGTGATAGTGTTAATTTTTAATTTTTTTCATTCTTCCTTGTAATAAAGGTTGAAAGCTTTTTATATGAAGCTCTAAATACAAAACATTTTAGGCTTTGCACCTCATATGGTCTCTGATGCAATCACCCATTATGCCATTGTAGCACCACAGACAACACATAGGTGAAAGATCTGACAGTGTCCCAATAAAATTTTATGGATGAGGGGCTGGTGCTGTGACACAGTGGGTTAAACCACTGCTTGCAGTGCCAGCATCACACATGGGCACTGGTTTCAGTCCTGGCTGCTCCACTTCTAAACCAGCTCCATGCTAATGTGCCTGGGAAAGCAGTGGAAGATGACCAAAGTTCTGGGGGCCCTGCACCCACGTGGGAACCTAGATGAAGTTCCTGGCTTCATCCTGGCCCAGCCAGAATGTGGCATTTAGGAAGTAAGCCAGTGAATGCAGTATCTCTCTCTCTTCTGTCTCTTCCTCTCTCTCTCTCTCTCTCTCTGTCTTTGTAACTGACATTCAAATGAATAAATAAATTAAAAAAAAAATACCATAATGCCAGTCTCATACATCAAATTTAAAAAACATCCAGGGATCAAGTGCTCTATGATCACACATTTTTTAAAATAGCTTTCTGCAACACAGTGTAGCAGTATCTGAGAAATCAGAAAACCAAAGCCCCAGTATTAACTCTGGAATAAAATAGATGAAGTCACTTAGTTTCTTGAACTATGCGCTCCTTGCCAGCTGTAAAATTCAAACCTGCTATATTTGAGCAAAGTCTTAATATCTAGCCATCAATTTTGCCTAAACATATTAACTGGGAGCCTTGAGTACAATCCAGGCTCTTTAATACTAGGGATATGTATAGGGGTATTTTTAACAAACAGATTATTATTATAGCAACATCAAAATGAGTATGCTGCAGTTTCAACAGAGCACCCAGAATGCAATATCAGGCTTGGTGGCACACTTCTATTTGTCCTAAATGTTCCTTTGTATGATTTCTTCTGGTCACAACTTCTGAAATGTTCTATCATTTATCCCTATTGTCCACAAAGAAATTAAAAACTGACCAGAGGTGGGGGTAAGCTTTGTATTCACCAATGAAATTCTACATCCACCCATTCAAAAAAGATTTCAAAACCTCTGTTGTATATTTTATTAAAGAATTACTAAGGCAACCTGCTCAATCAACGTGGAGCAGGGAATATGGGCATACATATATGTTATCTATCTCCAGGAACAATTGTGACCTCTTTATTTCAAACAATCTTTCCTGGGAATGACTTTCATTCATCTCACTGAAACACTCAATAAGCATTGAGATGCAAGCACTGTGCTGGAAAGGTAAAGATGAGTGAGAATTATCTTTGCTTTTGAAGAACTTTATATTTTGCCGAGAAAATGTAGCAAATATTCCAAATGTAACCGTCTCCATGAATGACATCTGACATAGGCTATATTCCTGTGTTTCTTATCAAAACTTTGGCTATGCTATGACCAGCATTTCTTTCATCACTGTCTATCAATCTTTTCCCAATATTGAATTGGCTCACCACTGCATGCTTGAAAAAGAAGGCTACATATCTGTTTAGAAAGAATTTATTTCAAAACTAATCCTGTATCAGCAGTAGCCTATCCCAAAGGTGTCTTCAGAAATTCCAACTGCTAAGCTGCATGTGTGCACAAAACAGAACTCGTCAATTCTCTCCCAGTTTAGAAGCAACACAAAGGCTCCTAGTGATCAAAACAGTCTACACTAGGGCACAAGTGGAAAGTCATTTCTAAAACACTGCAAGCATGCACTTCTTAAGCACACACGGACACACGCAGACAAGTGGGAGAAGTATGTGAGAAAACTGACTGACAGTCATTTTCCTCGATGAACTACAGGCACTAAAATAGAACAAAATATCTTACCCAACAACATCTCTTCTGTAATTTTACCAAACAAAAAGGCTTAGTTACAGGGCTTGGTGGCTAGAAGATGGCATAGAAACTTGGCATCTAGATTGGACTACGAGTCACTTTGATCACAGGGTTGCAGTACTCAAGAAAAGATCAGTGGGGGTGTTTTTAGTACTAAATACCATGTGCCTTGCCGTGGTGCTTTCTGGGTATATATAGCTCTATATATTTTGGAGAACGGGAAAAGGACCTCTTGGATCGGAAGGTTTCTATGACTGGAAAGGCCATAGTTATATTTTTAAACTGTTATCCATATGTCTATCCTTAAACTCTTTAAGGAAAAACCCAGAGGTAATGCAATATACAGATTTATTTTTTGCCAAGAAGTCAATTGCAAAGAAAAGACACTTAAAAATTCATTTTCAAGAACTATAGTCTATCCAGGAGAACAAAGTAATTGTATGCTTTTCCTTACTGGTTTAAGTTCTGAATGTTCTACATTTTATACAATAAGGAACTACAGTTACTCTAGTATGTAAAAAGTACAAAACTTTGAAATCATCAACCTCTTCTCCATGAACTTCAACATATACCTGCCACATGATTCTAAGAGCATTCCTTCCCTCTACCCACAGTGCTTTCCTACCTCTGTGGGACAAGAGCACACCCGGCTTCCACTTCCTAAGAGCCTTTATATAGATCGCCTCTTCCATCAGATCTCACTTGCCAAGAAAAACATAATAATTGATAATTATCAGAAACTACCATCTCATTTGCACTTGTATCTCATTGTTTTTTAGAACTTATCAATTTTTTTTCAAACTATACATGGGAAAGGCAAGAGGAGAAAACAAAGATGCTATCCTGTGACTATATGTATGTTATTACATAAATAAAATTGGGAAACAAATTATGGTGTCATTGTAAAAATGTATCCTACAGTAAGAGATAATGATTAAGACACATTAAAGCTAATGATTAAAATCTATATCGGTAGCAAACATGTAAAGATACAATAGAATAGAATAAAAAGTCAGAAATTGACCCAAAACAGACAAGAATAGAGTATATGATTTAAAATATTCTATCCTAAGCTGGTGCCATGGCTCACTAGGCTAATCCTCCACCTGCAGCGCCGGCACCCCGGGTTCTAGTCCCGGTCGGGGCGCCAGATACTGTCCCGTTTGCTCCTCTTCCAGTCCTGCTCTCTGCTGTGGCCCAGGAGTGCAGTGAAGGATGGCCCAAGTGCTTGGGCCCTGCACCTGCATGGGAGACAAGGAGAAGCACCTGGCTCCTGGTTTCGGCTCAGCGCAGTGCGCCAGCTGCAGCGCGCCGGCCACAGCAGACATTGGAGGGTGAACCAATGGCAAAGGAAGACCTTCCTCTTTGTTTTTTTTCTCAATTGGTGTTCCAACATCATTTATGAAGTAATTTGAGTTCCATCCCTGATTTAGGATAGAATTTTTTTTTTTTTTTTTTTTTTTGACAGGCAGAATGGACAGTGAGAGAGAGAGACAGAGAGAAAGGTCTTCCTTTGCCGTTGGTTCACCCTCCAATGGCCGCCACGGCCGGTGTGCTGCGGCCAGTGCACTGCGCTGATCCAATGGCAGGAGCCAGGTGCTTCTCCTGGTCTCCCATGGGGTGCAGGGCCCAAGCACTTGGGCCATCCTCCACTGCACTCCCTGGCCACAGCAGAGAGCTGGCCTGGAAGAGGGGCAACCGGGACAGAATCCGGCGCCCCGACCGGGACTAGAACCCGGTGTGCTGTTGCCACAAGGCGGAGGATTCAGCTCATACATATTAAGACAGAGTAACTTTAAAACTGAACTGAATAGCATTTTTTACATTTCAGCTATGAATGATCTAAAGGTTTTTCTTTAATATGTGTAAGTTTATTTTTTTAACTTTATTTAATCAATATAAATTTCCAAAGTACAGTTTATGGATTACAACGGCTTTCCCCCCCATAACTTCCCTCCCACCCGCAACCCTCCCATCTCCCGCTCCCTCTCCCATTCCATTCGCATCAAGATTCATTTTCAATTATATTTATATACAGAAGCTCAATTTAGTATAAATTAAGTAAAGATTTCAACAGTTTGCACTCACACTGAAACACAAAGTGTAATAACTCCTGTTAGTGAGTACAAGAGATAACAATCCTTCTCACACAGTGATGAGGGGAATGTATGTTTGTACAACTCTGGAAGGGAGCTGGACAATGCCCATAAAAATGGCATTCTACTTTTAGGAGTTTATCCTGTGTGTTTATTTATACATTACAAGTTTATATCCTAAAGCATTACTAGTCATAAATAAAAATCATAAACACTTGAATCTATATTAATAGGAATTAAATAATGACATAGCAATACAATACAGTACAATGCAACCATAAATGAACGAAATGGTCTTTATGTACTGACAGGGAATCATCTCCATGCTATAGTCTAAAGTGAAGAAAAAGTAAGGACCAAACCAACATACAAAGTCTACTACAATGTTTTCATCCCCTGAAGTGATCACACACACAGAAAACCCTGATAGCACGGGTTGCTTGCTGGGGAAAAGCTAGGTGACTCGGACACAGAGAGAGGAGAGAGAGATTCTATATTTTTGTAAAAAGAGAAAGATTTATATGATCTGAAGAGAAACCAAAATATGGATATTTTATATTTTTGAACCATGTGAATATACTACCTATACAGGAAATTTAACATGTTAAAAATGCAATCGATTCCTTTGGTTATTCTTATTCTATAATCAAACAACAATTTCAAATGTGATAGAATGCTTGTTAC